CCGTCAATCTCTGCCACGGCTGCTTTATGCTTGCTCTTCTCAGCAAGAAGGCGCTTCCGAGCCTCTTCAAGCTCGTACTCTGCAATCGCCTTCTTCCTTTCTGCTTTGGAAGCGGCTTTCCAAAGAAATGGAGGAATGCTGGGTGGTTTTGACGAACCCTTGTACTTTCTTGCCTTGTAGCCTCCGGCATCATAGTAGGATGAATCGGCTTTGGGGATCAAAGTTGTTTCACCCGTAACAGGATCAAGAACCTCAATCATCTCAACCTCTTCACCCCCCGGGTCGTCGGCAAGGTCTCCCGACCCGCGAGCGGCGATGGGTGCATCGTCAATTAGCACGTCAGGGAGTTCGGGTGGTTCATCAGGTTCATACTCTTGGTCAACAGCATGTTTCAAAACCTCCTGATCAACAAGCTCTTCAATGTTTGCAGCCTTGACATCATCAATTGATGGCGGATTGCTCGAAATGGAAATGCCTGGGTACAAACCTTCTCTTATCATGTTGTACCTGCCTTTGCATGGGAAGTGTAATCCGATGTCGGGAACGGCGATCTGATGGACTCTTAATGGTTGAATCTCCGCACTGAAGTCTGATTCCATGACATCCTTCAATGGTAGAACCATGAACTCCTTTCTCCACACAAAATTGGACTGAACGGCATATCCCAAGAATATCCCTGGGTTTGACGTCGGCTCGAACCTGAGAGAGGACTTGGCTTTGTTCTTGGGGCCGATCCAGTAATCAATCCTCAACCCAAAGGGAACCAAAGGGCCTTTGAACTTCTCACCGAACCGAAGCGACCAAGGCGAACTACCCTCCCGGGTGTCGACGATATTGTTTGCCATGCATGCATGCCTGGCAGCGTGAGCCCAATATTGATGGTGTAGGCCAGCTTGCTCTAGGTTTACCCTTGTTCCATCGATGACGGACCGAATCGATCTCTCAGCCATAGCATTGGTCTTAGAGACGTACGCAAAGCTTGTTTGATGCCTCCATCCTAGCCTCTCGGCAGTCGCGATGAGTTCCGGTGAATTGTCGGAATAAAATACTCCTACATCATCAGTCGAACGGACAAAATGCTTGAAGGCTGCTATGCATTCACGCGTTGATCGACGTGCGGCCGGATAGACATACCTGAAATCCGTTGCCACGTCTTTCACGACCAATGCGACGCGAGCCCCATCGATGTCCATTTCCTCATCGTCACGAATAACAAGATGGTCAGCAGTCAAATGTTGCCCGAAATGATCCGCCTCAACCTGGGTTGAACCACCCTTGCTATACGATGGACGTTTGGTCATCTTTGCTCTCGAGCAGGCTTGACAAAAGGGGTTCTTTGGGGTATGAGTCAACAGATGTTGAATGGATTGCGCTTCTTCCTTGAGAGCTCTCTCTCCCCTATCCCTCTTCGGGTCCAACGGCTTCTCCACCAACCTTTCATCCACCGGCTCGGGATCATCTTCAACGGGATCCTCGCCAATGGGGTTGTCCTCATCGTCCTGGACTTCAATTGCCTCTTCAGCCGGTGACGCGGGCAGAGGGATCATTGGTCGCAGCCCCCTTGACCGATCGTTCGTACCGTAAGGTTGACCTATGGCGGACATTGCAACACCGGTGGTTGATGGCAAGTATGGAACATAATCCTCTACTTCAAGCTTGACTTTGGTTCCGTCTGGTTTCTTGAAGTACGGCCTACTGTAAGCGGGCCAATGGAAGCTCCATCCTGCGTCGATGCAGCGTTGTCCTACCGATACGACGGCTGGGCTATCTTCCAAGACATAAGGGTTGATATCAGTTCCCAACACGGGAACATTGACTCTGGCTTGGTCAGTGGCTTGAAAGACTCCGTTGGCAGTAAGAAGACTGACCGGTTTGGACGATTGTGACACTTCATCCGAATGTAGCATGTGTCTAGATACAAGATCGTGTGCGCTGCCAGTATCTGCAATCCATGCAATCTCAGTGGCTGGCACTGTTGGACATGACCTCCTCTCAAAACACTTGATGCAACCTATATCAGAGTTGCACAGGTACGAACATTCTGCCGGCAAGGACAACAGCTCGTTCCTGACAGCATTCTGAAGGTGTGATGCTGCAATGGATGCGTCCTCAGTGGCGACACGAACTGCCTCAGCATGCTCCGGTCGACCTGGTGTAAAGGGTCTTCGTTTCTTCTTACTCCGGGGTTGAACGGATCTCCAACTGGAAGAAGACTCAACAGCATGATTGAAAACGTTTGGTTGATCGTCAAAACGAACTCTTTGCGTAACAAAACTGTCAATGTTTTCTGTGTTGTCAAAATCGGTGCACATAGTGTTTGATGCGGAAAGGACTGGCATGGCCACGCTTCCCAGCGGGCGAGTGATGAGGACGGAGGATCCCTGAGAGACCACTGCGGCCATGACCACTGCTCGAAGGAGGCATACCGCTGCCGGTGCATTGGAAGAAGAAGACTTCCCACCTTTTCTCCTCTGACTCTCAGAGCCAGTTGAGTTTTCGGAGCCTGATGATCCTCGTGAGCTGCTTCGCTTGCGAGGTTTCTTGTCTTTCTTCTTCTTCTTCTTTTTGTCCTCTTTCTTCGCAGGGACAGTCTTTTCAGGGTGTTGGAATGCGCAGTCTTTTCCTCGGTGGCAATGACCTGCCTTCCAAAACTTGCAAGTCTCCTTGCGTGATCCTGGTGTCAGCGATCTTGACCGAGATTGGCTGCGATCCTTGCCCTTTCCCTTTCCTTTGCTTTTCTCGCGGCCTTTTTCGTGCTTGTAAGGACATGATGATCCGCGCTTGCATTTTCCGGTCTTTTGGAACTCGTAGCAGACGCCTTTCTTCTCCTCCGGAGCTGGCATGGTTGTGTCTTTGGACCCGAGCGAGCGCTTCGTGGCGTCGCGCATCTTTTCCAATCTCTTCCGTTCGAGGTAGGCCCGGGCAGCAGTGATCAGGAAGTCATATGTTCTTTCTTTGCTTCCATCGGCTGCACGGTCGTACAAGGCCAAGTCATGCTCAAGCGGCTTGAAACGCTTCACTGCCAGGTGAAAATAGGCTTCCAGAACACTGTTTTCCGGTTCCTTTTTCATTCCGGCAAGAACGCTATCCCATTTATTTATAAAGCCTTTGAGGTCATCGTTGACCATTTTGACGGACATGAGGTCTTCGAGCCCGTAGATTGCTCCATGCTTTATGCTTGTGGCAAAATACTCGTGGAACCGAAGGAGCAAGTGTCTACCCTTCACGTTCTTGTCTTCTCGAGCACGCAGCTCCTTGAATGTAGCAATCTGCCGACCGAGGTCCCCCTCAGCGCAATTTGTTAAGCTTGCAAGAAGCTTTGCGTCGAGGGTTGCAAATCCCTCTGAATCATCCAAGGCGTCAATGGTTTGGGAATCTTTGTATACTTTCCCAACCCAAGATCTTGCTTCATCCGGCTTCGCTGAAGCTGCAGCAATATTGTCCCTCACCTTGATCTTCCAGTCTCTGTACTTCTCAGGCGTGGGGAACTTGGGAATGAGAATTTTGTCAGCTTCTTTGGCTTTACTCTCATGATCCTTGTCTTTCGACTTCCTTTGCTGCTTCTTCAACTCTTTGCGAATGATGCGTGCAAGACGCGATGATTCAGAGCTTGAGTCATTTGAGTCATCACTCCCTCCTGATGAACTTGGCGACGATGGTGATGGGGAAGGAGAGCGTTTCTTTCTGCGCTCCCTCGAGCGGCCCCTCTTAGGGCTCTTCTCTTTCTTCTTATCCTTACCTTTCTTCTTCTTGTCTTTCTTTGATTTGTCACCACCCTCTTCATCAGCATCGGATGGATGAGGCTCATCACCGCCTTCGATCCCGGGCTTCTCCAACTGAGTGCGAAGGCTCGCTGGAGGCAAAGCTGGGGACACCTTAGACCCAGGTGGCTGCACTGATGGTGCAGGCACTCGGTTCCCCGAGGCGTTGTCAAACCTCTCCCTCAACTCCTTGATGATTCGACTCTGTTCTGCTAACTCTGACCGAAGTGCATCCTCTCTTTGCTTGGCAGAGGCGCGTTCGTTCTCAACGACGGTGTGTCGTTCGAGCGAAAGGCGATCTAGGTAAGCCCGTTGTTCTTGAAGATTTTGATTTTGATGGGCTTGGTTCATGTCACTCAATCGTTGATTGGCTAAAGCCTCAGTCTGTTCCCTAGACTCCTGGACAGCCACTTTAGCTTGGTTCTCCACTACGTCTCTAAAATGCCTAGCCTCCTCAGCTACTTGTTGCCCGTGCTCGGCCAAAATGGCCTGATGCCGCAACTCTGCGATCTGAGCTACCTGTGCTGACCTGTCCTCATTGACGAAGACTGCTTGTTGATGGATCTGTCTCGCATCAACGTTCTGGACATTCATCACAGGAGAAAACTCAGGTTGAAACGGCGATGGTGCTTGACCACTAGGCAACAGGTCCCCCTGTGCACTGAACGTTGGTGGCACAACTGGTACACGCAACTCCAGCGGAACAACAGGGAGATCAGCAGCAGGTGAACTGGACATCGCAGGCGAAGTAGGAACGTAGCCTGATCGTGAGCGGTCACCACGGGAACCATCATCATCAGCCATGGCCTCTAGATAGTGCACTACCTAGGGTGGGGTAAGACCACAGCCAGTAGAAAGCACGTACCGCACTTATGGCGATACGGCTGATAACCTGTAGATACAGGTAAACGACCGATAACTACCAACAAGTCGCACCTGGTTTTCCTTGAGCCAAACGGTAGTAAAGTGAGACATGTATACGACATCCTAGCGTGAAACAACAGCGCGCAAGCGAGCGACCGAGGCAAGCGAGGAGTCAGTGGCCCAGGCGAACAACTTCAAACGCACACCTAAAACTCGTCGAGCCGTGACAAACCTTTGCCATCAGCACGTGAAACTGGCAAGTGCCAGCCCGCACTCACTTTCAGCCCATTCCTCTGCTCTTCCTTAGGGGTTAGGGCCCCTAACCCCCCCCTAACCCCTCCTAACTGCCCCTAACCCCGTCTCCGAGCCCCTCACTCCCGAACGAAGCCACCGATCCGGAGCCACCTGAGCCACCTGAGCCACGGTCCCACTCGCGGGAAATCCAGACAGTAAGACAGTTGAAAGTGACACATCTATGAGGTAAATACATGTAAATACCAGACCTGACCTTTGGAATGGAAGGACATCACCACGAAACGAGCATCATACATATGTTATCATATACTTGGACTTGGACTCGATACTTCTATTTCTGTGAGGTGTAGGAGGAGCAATTTCGCTCCAAGAACACCCGGAACACCGCTCCCAGCATCCGCTAGGGCGCCCAAGCCAAAGAGGCCTGTAGAGCTGGAAGAGCCTGAGTGAAGGTCAACCACACTTGACTTTGAGTCGAGATGTGCTCTCTTGCCCAAATGGCCGTGGTCTGGGCAATTCTGGGTTCCCCAGTCTTCCAAATGCGCCAGACAAAGATCCGCCCGTGGACCCACCTGAACAATCACAAGGCGACGGAAAGCTGGCGTATATTGCGTATACTGCGTCCTTCGAAGCTTTCAGGGTGCCACGCGCACGTTCGGATGAAGCCACCTTTAAAACACAAACAACTCTCCATCCGCTAAGGCGCCCGAGCCAAAGAGGCCTGCAGAGCTGGAAGAGCCTGATCAGGTGAAGTTGCAAAACATGCAAGAAAGGAGAATACTTTGAGGAGATGCTGAGCTATGCTGAGCCTTTCTCTGGCCTGCAGGGTTGGCTGGCTGATAAGTGCACTCTTCCAGAATTCGTGTGTGGCACTGCACTAGTAGAGGTAAGTAAAGGCACACACTACACCCTGCGACTTGCCTCCACCCCTCGACTTTAGTATTAGTTGCCAAGCTGTCCGAAAATCCTTTGTTCAACCAAAGGCGTTTCTTCCACGTCCACCTGGAAGCCCTGCCACGCTGCGCTTTGAGCTCCGGGCTCCCTCCAAACGCTCCTGACAGGCTCTCTCCAAGTCCACCTCACCACCGGGCGCCAAGGGTTTTTGGACGGTTTTGCGCAAAACCCCGCGGAAAAGTCGAGCGAAAGGCATCTGGGCTACCTGGGCTCATCTGGGCTCTGTCTTTGGCCGCACAGGCGCGCTAAACTAGATATGAACCTATAATAACCTCTATATATATATATATATATATACTACCGAACGGTGACTTAGGACTTGTGTGGGCCAGTGACATAGTAGTTGTGGCCCACTACTCCTAAGTCATTGGGAACACAAAAATTGCAGAGTTGCTGATTCAAGCCTCATGACTTGGGAATTGTCGCCAGCTGATGATCAAGCATTTTATTTATTTTTTTCAGGGAGGGAGGGGAATTGATGCACACAGAACAAATGACATAAGAATCGGCCTGCTCATCATGTTTCATCATGCCTCCTGGTACTTACGACTCCTATCTCACGTCATTTATTCATCTTTTCCGGCAGCTTTCTGTTTTTTTAAAGCTATTCTTGTGTGACAATGTTTTGACGTGTTTCTCTACTTTAAAGTCCATGACATAGGAGTTGTGTACATTGCTCAAAAATGCTTTAAGACCCATGACAAAGGAGTTGTAAAACCCACCATACGTTTTACAACTCCTTTGTCACTAGTCGAGAGTATATATATATATATATGTCGTGTTGAAGCGATTGGGTGCCACTTCACTTAGGACTTGAGCCAGCTGTTCCTGCGAGAAGCTCAACCCAAAGAAACTCTATGCAGGGGAGAAAACGACAAACTCCGGCACCGCCCGATAAAGCGCCTCCTCCAAATGGAAGGCGCTCAGACGACCAAGCCCGGGAATCGACCGGAACACCTTTGAGGACCAATTGTCAGGGGGTATTGGCCGGAAAATGGTCTCTTTCGGGTGACTGGCCCCCCATGCGCACGGAACGAGAACTTGATCCAAATTGAAAGGGGCCGAAAAATCGGGACTTTTGGGGAATCATTCCTTCGTTCCGTCCCATGCACCAGTCAGTTTGGTGGGGAGCATGCTGTCCAGATAGGTTGCTGATGTTTGCTGTCTAGATTCGGGCCTTGTGGATCCTTCCTCTGAAAATTCCGGGGATGTGATGGGGCATGGTAGGAGTGCTGGGGAGTCAATCATGTTAGCCGCTTCCCTCCCAAAAGTCCACACGTGCATCATGCACGTAGGTTAAAGGCGAATCCCATCAAACTGTGCGCTTTGCCCTCGATCCTGGAAATCCTGCCGACCTCATCCATCCCGGACGCCCACCCAGTCTCAAGGCCACGACCGAAGAGGCTCGAAGCGCTTGAACCTGCGAATCTGCACCGTTAAAGTCGCCCCGTCGGCCACATGAACTGCCAAATCCACTCATGGGCCCGTCTGAACACCATCGGCTCACGTGCACCTGGTCTAGTGCTGAAGCTGGATGGATGGAACACAAGGCGCTGGGTCAGGGGCCAGAGGCGCTTGGTCAGAAATCGGACGCAAACTACCAAAGCTGGAGGAACATTAATTCATACTTCGGGGATCTTTGAGGTGTTCATGAAGCAACCTTCCAGTACACTAAAAGAGAATTGAAGGCACCTCCGCTGGATGCAGCACCTTGCACCAAGATGCCACAAGCATGTTCGGCTGCTGATCTGTTGTTGAAGTGTGCTGCCATGAAAGCTGACACCTTCGCACTTCTCCAACTCTTTGAGCGGGGGACTTCCACCAAAAGGGCTTGCAGTGGAGCCATGGGATGAGCCCCCGAAGAGACTTCCACCAGATGGGGCACCTTGTGCGAAGCAAGCCAGGGAGCTAATGAGCTGCCACTACTGTCAGTCGGCCACGTGCATGTTCCTTTCTCTGAGCCGGTCACTTCCACCGAACGGGCTGACACCAGAGCTGCTTGATGCAGTTCCAAGGGGACCTCCACCAGACGAAGCACCTTGTCAATGACATCTGGAAAGCAAATACGGGGCCAGCGCACGAAGCTCTGACAACGTCACACAATCTCGATGCTCAATGCTCTGCCATTTGCTCAGCACATGTTGAAACTTCTTGGCTACTGACTCCCGGCAAAGGTGCTTGTGCCAGAGCTGCTCGATGAAGCCCCAAAGAGACCTCCACCAGATGAGGCACCTCGTGTGAAGCATGTGCAATG